CTGTGCCCCGGCCTCCGGGAGACAGAGCGGCGGGTCCCCAGGACTCCCCAGCGTGTGGGGTCTGCAGCCTGATTGGGGCCGGGCCACGGATGGGGTGCTCCCCCGGCCCCCGGAGGGCGTGTGCATGGTGCCCTAGAGCCGTGCAGATTACAGGAGGCAGGGGGTGCTTGGCCATTCTCTTACCACAGGTTAAAGAAAATGCCAGGAGTGGGCTGGAAATGTTTGCCACGAAGTGGGGTCTGGGGACCACCGGCGGGGAGAGGGTCCAGTCCACACTCCTTGCTGAGGCCTGGGCCCAGGGTGGGGGCTGCTGGCTCCTGGTCGCCCCCCCCCACTGACCCAGGGAAGCCCTAGGAGGTTTGGACGTCCTGCTCCCACACCCTGGGGACCCCCAGCCCCTTGTCTGCTCCTTCACCAGGACACTTGGACACCAAGTCTCGGCCAGGTGGCGGGCGGACTGGGCAGGGCAGGGACTCCACGGTGCCCGGGCACCCCCTCCTGTTGGGGCTGCTCAGCGGGATGGAGGCCCCCTCCAAAGTTTGTCCCTGGCATTTGTGAGGCAGATGGAGGCCCTCGACCCCTCCCCAGGCCCCACCCCACCCATTCATGGGCAGGACAAGCTCTGTCCCAGAGTCTCAGGGGAGAAGGAGCAGCGCCCAGAGCCCGGAGCCTGGGAGTGTCTGGGCCAGGGTGTGCCCTGCAAACCCAGGAGGGGGGGCACTTCTGAAAGAAATGGGGCTCCTTGGGCTGTGTGGGTCCGAAGTGGTGTACACAGCTGACCCAGACTTAAGCCAATCATGACGGAGAGCCCCTGGCCCCACCCCGGGCTCGGGAGAAGCTGCCCCAGGTAGGGACATATCTGGGCTTCTGGGGAAAATTTCAGACTCAGGGCAAAGGGCAGAGAGAAGGCCAGAGGCTGTTCGGGTCCCCATGTGGCCCCCACAGGGCTCACGGCGCTCAGCCCCACCCCAGTGAGTGGACCAGCCCACAGAGCTCCACACTCAGGGCTGTAGGGAGCTGATGAGCTCACCGGGCCCCAGGTGCACTGAGGTGCTAACCTGCTCCTCTCCCTGGGTGGGGAAGGTGGTCCTGCTGCCCTCCCAGCCCTCTGCTTATTTCTGATGGAGTCGGGGGCGGGGGGCAACTCCTGCAGAGCTCCTTCGGCAGCTGTCAGGAAGGAGGAGAGAGGCTGCCACCTCCTGGCCCAGGCAGAGCGACCGCCAAATGGCAAGGATCTGCTTCGGTGCCAAAGTCCCCTTACCCAGATTCCTAGGTAAACTGAGGCAGCAAGCAGTGATCAGGCAGGATAGCATGCGCAAGTGAAGAGCTGCAGGAATTAATAAAATGAAAGGGTAGGAGAGGGAGCAAGTGAATGAAGGGCCAACAGGTGGGGGAAGGAGAAGGTGGGCAGGCGGGCAGGTGAGCCAGTTGGCAGGTGGGCAGGTGAGCAGGCAGGCAGGCAGGCAGGCAGGCAGGCAGGTGAGCAGGC